GTCCACAAAATTATTTTTTGCGGATTTGAGTGGCATATCCTCATATTAAGTTAGTTAGTTAGTTAGTTAGTTAGTTAGTTAGTTAGTTAGTTAGTTAGTTAGTTAGTTAGTTAGTTAGTTAGTTAGTTAGTAGTTAGTTATAGTTAGTTAGTTAGTTAGTTATTAGTTAGTTAGTTAGTTAGTTAGTTAGTTAGTTAGTTAGTTAGTTAGTTAGTAGTTAGTTAGTTAGTTAGTAGTGTAGTTAGTTAGTTAGAGTTAGTTAGTTAGTTAGTAGTTAGTTAGTTAGTTAGTTAGTTAGTTAGTTAGTTAGTTAGTTAGTTAGTTAGTTAGTTAGTTAGTAGTTAGTTAGTTAGTTAGTTAGTTAGTTAGTTAGTTAGTTTAGTTAGTTAGTTAGTAGTTAGTTAGTGTTAGTTAGTTAGTTAGTTAGTTAGTTAGTTAGTTAGTTAGTTAGTTAGTTAGTTAGTAGTTAGTTAGTTAGTTAGTTAGTTAGTTAGTTAGTAGTTAGTTAGTTAGTTAGTTAGTTAGTTAGTTAGTTAGTTAGTTAGTTAGTTAGTAGTTAGTTAGTTAGTTAGTTAGTTAGTTAGTTAGTTAGTTAGTTAGTTAGTTAGTTAGTTAGTTAGTTAGTTAGTTAGTTAGTTAGTTAGTTAGTTAGTTAGTTAGTTAGTTAGTTAGTTAGTTAGTTAGTTAGTAGTTAGTTAGTTAGTTAGTTAGTTAGTTAGTTAGTTAGTTAGTTAGTTAGTTAGTTAGTTAGTTAGTAGTTAGTTAGTTAGTTAGTTAGTTAGTTAGTTAGTTAGTTAGTTAGTTAGTTAGTTAGTTAGTTAGTTAGTTAGTTAGTTAGTTAGTTAGTTAGTTAGTTAGTTAGTTAGTTAGTTAGTAGTTAGTTAGTTAGTTAGTTAGTTAGTTAGTTAGTTAGTTAGTTAGTTAGTTAGTTAGTTAGTTAGTAGTTAGTTAGTTAGTTAGTTAGTTAGTTAGTTAGTTAGTTAGTAGTTAGTTAGTTAGTTAGTTAGTTAGTAGTTAGTTAGTTAGTTAGTTAGTTAGTTAGTTAGTTAGTTAGTTAGTTAGTTAGTTAGTTAGTTAGTTAGTAGTTAGTTAGTTAGTTAGTTAGTTAGTAGTTAGTTAGTTAGTTAGTTAGTTAGTAGTTAGTTAGTTAGTTAGTAGTTAGTTAGTTAGTTAGTTAGTTAGTTAGTTAGTTAGTTAGTAGTTAGTTAGTTAGTTAGTTAGTTAGTTAGTTAGTTAGTTAGTTAGTTAGTTAGTTAGTTAGTTAGTTAGTTAGTTAGTTAGTTAGTTAGTTAGTAGTAGTTAGTTAGTTAGTTAGTTAGTTAGTTAGTTAGTTAGTTAGTTAGTTAGTTAGTTAGTTAGTTAGTTAGTTAGTAGTTAGTTAGTTAGTTAGTTAGTTAGTTAGTTAGTTAGTTAGTTAGTAGTTAGTTAGTTAGTTAGTTAGTTAGTTAGTTAGTTAGTTAGTTAGTTAGTTAGTTAGTAGTAGTTAGTTAGTTAGTAGTTAGTAGTGTTAGTTAGTTAGTTAGTTAGTTAGTTAGTTAGTTAGTTAGTTAGTTAGTTAGTTAGTAGTTAGTTAGTTAGTTAGTTAGTTAGTTAGTTAGTTAGTTAGTTAGTTAGCCATTTCTTTCACCCAACAACATAAATTCTTAACATTTCATTCTATTGATCGCGAACAATTGAACATTTTAAAGTCCGTTAAATATTTGGTCTAAAGAATAATATAAAATGAAAAAGTTCACAGAAAAATGAAAAAAAAATCTTTAACAATTTATCATGCCATCATGCATTTCATTACAGTTGTATATTTCCTGCCATTATGTGTGATGGCATAGAATAAACTGAAATGGCATCAAAATCCCTTGGACTATAATCTACAACAAAACAAATTCCATTATAAAGAAAAATCATTTTACTTAGTCATACAAAATGATATTAGAACAAATAAATATGTGTGGGCAATAAATGTGTAAGTACAATGGAACCATATTTTATTGCAGTAAATATTTCAAATACCTTTAGCTGCTGGCAAATACAACGTATTATACAATTTTTCTATCATAGATATTCCTATAGTGTGTTGTCTGGCATAGTTGTACGAGACATTCCTATTTACAAGTAAAAACTTAAAGCTGCCAAAGGATTTATGAATTCCAACAGTTTTCTTTCCTTTTGTAGGATTTTAAAGTTGTAGTAAGTGTATTTTAAGTTTCAAAATTTGTTTCACTGAGACTCGGTAACAGATTTCTAAAGTCTCTGGGGATAATATAGTACAAATTGATTTATTTGCTTATTAGAACTATATATTTTGGTTACCTTTTTTAAAGTGCAATGCAAGCATAAAACAATAGTTTTTATTTTAGTTTTTGTGCAATATAGCAGAAAGAACAAATTTCAAATCCATAAATGTAATTTATTACTTATTGTATAACCAACTTATAGAGTATTTAAGCAAAAAATTTATGAAATTGCTTGGAAGACTAACAAATTACCCAAAGAGTAGTATTAGACTAAAATTACATGGTAAATTATACAATTTAGTTTGAAAGTTGGAGGATGTCCATAAATTACTTAACGAACTGTAAGAGAAAACATTTGAAAATTCATTTGATGGGAGGAAAGAGAAAAGGATTTAGTTTTCAGCTAAAATGACAGTTTCAAAAGCATTATTTATTGTAAAATGAAATAAAATTATCTTTGTTTTTATACTCTTCATCTTTGTGAGAAGAATATAATTGTTCGTTCTATACCTCCTTAGTCCTTAGAGATGTCATATTCGATTAAGCTATCTTTCTGTCTGTCTGTTTGTTTGTCCGTCTGTTTGTCCGTCTGTCTGTCTGTCCGTCTGTCTATCTCTGTGTCATTATGTCTATCTGTAAGTCTGTCTGTCTGGCTATCTGTCAGTCTGTCTGTCAATCTGTTTATCTGTATGGTTGTTGAAAAAATATTTTCTGAAGACCCCTGTTAACTTTGGACACCAAAGCTCAAACAAGTATAACAGTTCCTTAGTTGCATTCAAACAAATACAAGTGTATTTATTTTCCTTCAATTCCTAATTACAACAATCGGTTTCCTATGTGGAGCACTAGAGATATTTAACTTTTTCCAAAATTTATATTATTTGTAACCAACAACAGAAATGCAAACAAAAACACTGTCTTTTGCAAGCATTTTGGTGGAGCTGATGTTGTCACTTTTTCATAGTTTGGCTCGTTTTTATCTATAGGGAGTGGATTTACCACATATTTTTAGTTCAAACTATGACCGTGAAATGTGACACTTGTTTAAAATACAAACATTTACACAAAAACGCTTTTCAGCTTATGTATGAGTAAGTATTTATGTGATGTAGTGTGCATGTAGGCAAAGTCAAAAAAGTTATCGACATACTTGCAAATATTACGAAATGGAATTTTTTCCTTAGAGTCGATCAAAATAACTATACTTCACTGGATGTTTTTCAATTCATTTAAACGATTTTGCTTAAATTTCCAAAAAAAAAAACACATTTGCTTTCCACACTGTTCATGTTTGTTTACATATTGTGCGTGTGTAGTTGCAAGTTGCTTGTTGTGTTTGCTAGATGATTTTGGTTAGTTAGTTTAAACCAAACAGTTTGGCATTCTTTACAATTCATGTTTTTCCTATTTCATTTTTGTGTGTTTTTTTTGTTGCATGTGACTTAGCAACCAACAGCGAAAGCTGCAACAATGGTGGTTGCATCAGCAACAGCAGCAATATTTTGGCGTCATCTAAATGCACCGTCATCATTTGCTGTTGTTGTGCAATTTTCATTTTTTTTCTGTTCATTCACTTTCCCTTAACAATACTAAAACAGCGAACAATATGGCGCCACTTAAATTAGCCAACATCTGTTATTTTTTTTTTCGCTTTTCTCTCACCAATGCTACATTTAACCTCACTTCTTAACCCCTTAGTTGTGTGTGTGTGTGAGATTAGTATGAAGTCGAGAAAAATAAAAAAATTAAATATGACTAAAAAATTATGATGAATATTATTTGGAGCCAAGTACAGGACACAAAGGAATTTATTTGTTTGCATTGGATATTGTGTGTGTTTATGTTTTCTTAGTTGCTTGTTTAACACACACACACATTTTTAAAAGCGCATTTTTTTTTTTTTTCAATATAATCATAATAATGTTTAAATAATATTAAGTATTCTAGGAAACATTTGCAAATTCTAGGAAAATATTATTTTTGCTAATACAAAAATCATGACTCTGTAACATGTCGAGAAGTACTTTTTATGGGGTAGTACTATTTTTCAATGTCATGTTTTTATACCATTCACAATTATGAGAAGTTTGTCCACAATATAATTTTAGTCTGTCTGTCTGTCCGTCTGTCTATCAGTCTGTTTGTCTGTCTGTCTATCTATCAGTCTGTCTGTCTGTCTGTCTGTCTGTCTGTCTGTCTGTCTGTCTGTCTGTCTGTCTATCTGTCTGTCTGTCTGTCTGTCTGTCTGTCTGTCTGTCTGTCTGTCTGCCTGTCTGTCTGTCTGTCCATCTGTCTGTCTATCTGTCTGTTGAAATAAATTTTCTGAAGACCTCAGATATCTTTGGCAACCAAATCTTCAATAATTCTATCAGACATGTTTTCGAAAAGTTTCCTATTAAAAATCAACAAAATCCGTCCATAAATAATGGAGATATAAGCAAAAATTCAAGACAACCTCTAAAAATTTCATCAAAGCATGCACAAAGCTTTTATAAAAAGCAACAACAACATTGCCCTTTGGAAAAAACGTATGTTTAAATATGTGTTGTTTTCATTGATTTGTGTATTTTATTTCGTTTAGCGTTCTTGTTGTTGCTTGTTTTGTTTCGCTATTGCTAAAGTAATGCTAGAGTCGGGAAAAATGAAGTAAATTTAAATTTTATAAAATTAATCTTTTTTAAAACACACTAGAGTGTAGGGTATATAAAATTCGGCAAAAGCGAACATAAACTTCTTACTTGTTTTATTCAAAAAATACTTACATACCTTAGTTCACATGATTTTGAGTAGTTTAATATTAATCTGTAAATAAAAAGAAAAATATGTTTCTGATAAGTTTTATCAAATTAAATGAATGGGATTAAATTACTATATCTAAGCATAATTAAAAGTTATGATGAGTTAGTGGGCGTGAACGTTATATAATCGCCCCTTTTTGAGTGGTTAGAATCACAACTATGAACATCATGAACATACATATGCACTGACTTGTTATTGAACGGCTACAAATGGAATTATTTCTTATACTTGAATAGCAAACTTGGAACTAGTGATGTCGGCATTTCATCAGAAATCGATTTTGCTGATTTAACATAGGGAGGACCCTTTTCGAAAACTTAAATTGAATTGTAGATAATTTTAAGATATCTGAAGCCTTTAGAAAATTGATGCAATTAACAGACAGACGGAGCTATAGAATTTAGAAATATATATGATTTATAGGAAATTTGATAAACAAATTTTCAGAAAAACCCTAACATGAAACTGCAGGGTTAGAATAAAATGTATAATACTATTCGGTTCTATAATCTTACACATTTAAAAATGTATACCACTTGTTAACTTCAAAACGTCTTAAATATTCGGTACTAATTTTTTAGTTGTTTTAAATTAAACAAGAAAAACGGGGGGTGGTTGGATTAAGTTCTAAGAAAATTTTATAAATTAAACAAATATTTGTTGTAACACATAAACTTATAAATAACATCAACAACAAAAATTTTAGATTTTGTTTATAATATTTGTTGGTATGAAAGTTTCGTTTTAATATTTATACCCTACACCACTTGTTTGTGCTAATGTTTGTAACGCACAATAATATTGGTTCCACCTTAAAGTATACCAATCGGCTTAGAATCATTTTCTGAATCGATTTAGCTATGTCCATCCGTCTGTCCGTCCGTCCATGTAAACCTTTTAATCAAACTACAAGTCGCAATTTTTAAGATAATTCAATGAAATTCGGTACATGATCTTCTATTGTCCCAGGGACGAAGCATGTTGCAAATGGTTAAGATCGGTCCATTATTTCATCTAGCCCCCATACAACTGAACCCCTGAATAGGGCTTTTAAGCCTTGTAATCAAACTACAGGACGCAATTTTGATGATAATTCAATGAAATTTGGTACATGATCTTCTATGGTACCAGAGATGAAACCTGTTGAAACTGTTTAACATCAGTCCATTATTATTACTCCTATCTCGACAAAAAGCTGTGAAACCAAGTTCTATACTAGCCTTAATAACCCTCATGAATTTTATAATTATAGGGCCTCATTTGACCCTAGCCCCTACAAAGAGCCCCCTTTCAAATTTGACTTAAATGTCCACAATTTTATTCCACAATAAATGGCTTAAGTATATCTGAGGCAAGGTACAATTCAACTTAAATGCTTTATTATGAAAACTAAATCACATTTTATTTTTGTAACAGGTGTAGGGTATTATATGGTCGGCCTCGCCCGACTATAATTTCTTACTTGTTTTTCTTGTTGTTATGATTTCATACCTTTCAGTGTGTGTAGTATGTGTTTAAAGCAGAGGTCGGTAAACATGAACAACAACAGGGATAGAGAGTAAACGATACCAGTTGGTTATATACATATTAGGGTGGCACCAAAATGGAAGTTGCTGATATTCCTATCGAAAATGAAAATTTAGTTCAATCTAAGATAACATTTCTCAAAATTTTTGTCCTGACGTCAATATTTGGCGAGCTGGATCAAAGGATAAAAAGGTCCTTTTTAAGGTTTTAATGATTTTTTTCATATTTCTTCCAAAGGAAAGATATGAAATTTTGGTAAGGTCTTTGAGAGACGCTTTCAATGGCATATCAGAAATTTGAGAAACGCTATATTATAATGAATTAAACATTAACTTTAGTTGGGAACACCGACACCTTATTTTTCCTCCATACAAACGGGGCCACCAATAAATATGTATGTATGCAATTATGTATGTACATTAGAGTTTCCCGCGTTAAGCTCAAAGAGGATTTTTTTTGAACATATTGTACTGAGATCAAGATTTTCAATTCCTTCAAAAAAATGGTCCAGGGGACATCCTATATATGATATATGCATACATGTGTATATGAATGAAAAACTTTAATCCATGGCTTTGTTAAACTTTAACAAAGTAAAGTTAGTTATGTAAGTCTCCTTGTGCCAACCTCTGTTTTAGAACATGTTATTGTTTATTCTATATATTTGTATAGTTTTTTTTTTTTAATTTCATACAATTATTTTTTGCCCATAAGCTTTATTTAGTTTGCTTTTTTCAGATTATTAGATTTCAAGTATTCAATTGGAGATTATTCATTCGACCAGGCCACTTTATTTTGTGCTTTAATAAAACAACAAAAGAATTTAATATTTTTTTTATTATTATTTGTTTACTTTTTTTCCTTTTGTTATTGTTTTTATGAAAAAGAAATTGTATTCTGGCATATATAGAAAAAGACTTGTGTCTGGCTAAATGCGATTTTTTCAATTACTTCATACAAGTTAAATACAGTTGAGGGAGGAAAAATTAAAAAAAAAAATGAAATAAATAACAAAAGTCTTTTGTTGTGGTCACCTGAACGAGGGAGAACCTTTATAAATGGCTTATAAAGTAATTGTGAAAAAAATATATAAAACAAATTATTTTTTCTTTTTGGATTAAAGTTTTTGAATCTTAATTTAATTTAAGCTGAAAAGCGATTAAGAGGAAAATAGTTGCCAAGGTAAAGTGAAAAAGAAAAGTCAGGAAAATAGTGAGCAACATATATATTTTAAAATATTTTGCTATATTTCTGTTAAAAATAACACACGAGAGCTTAATATTTATTAACCATTTTAAATCCTAATTTACTTTAGCATATTTTTTAATTACCTCACTTCCGACAATTCCCTTAATACCCAAAACTGTCATAAATATTTGGCTTAACTTAAGAAGAAGAAAAAAAATAACTAAAAACTAAAAAACATTCTTATAAATTATTTACTCTAAACTATAATACAATGTATTACGTCTATCAAACCTTGTGGACTTAGTCAACTGTATTACACACCCAACTGTGTCCCTGCTGATGGCAAGAACATGTTTAATTTTTAGCTTACCTTGTTCAATGTCACCCCTGATACAAGTACTTAACCATGAAGTGCATTACACTTGCATTACCTCTATCATTCATGGCATACAAATTGTTTTGCTACCTAACCCACATGAAAAAAACAAAAACAAAATAAACACTTTTATAGTTCCCTCTCGAACACATGTAAGTAAATCAAACACAAAACTCAAATTCAGTAGAAATTTGTTCTAAAGGCGGAAATCTGCTAGAAATATTCGAACAAAAATGTAAATGTTTAATCCTCAAAATGCTACAAAATAGCAGCAGAAAACAAGAAAATAGTTATTTTTAACCCTTAATATGGTCAGGGGAACTAAAAGGGTATTTTAGCCAAAAATAAGTTATTTTTGAAAAACTTAACGTTCTTTATGTTCTATACATAACTTTATGTAATAGTAACAGTGTAGGGTTAATTAAATTTATGTATTTTTTTAGTTTTATATAATTTGACATACACGACTTTTTGTTGTTTTTCTATAATATACATATAAAAAGTTTATAAGTTATTTACATATGCATATATACATTAAGGTAGTTCAAAATTAAATGTTCATTAATTTTTAGTTGTAAACTAATTAGTTATGTTATAATCTGTTAGTCGAAGGACTACGGTATATATTCCCGCCATAGATTATTTTTTTCTTCTGCACTTTCCCAACTTATGGAAAATTATCACCTTGTTAATAGGGTATCCTGAGGAACGGCCTTTTTTAAGAATCTCATATAGGAATACCTCTAGACCGGAATTTTTGATATCCATTTCGAAAAGATTAAAGACAATTTTTTATAAACATATTGTACTGAGATCAAAATTTGTAATCTCTGGTAGGGAACTGTGGACCTTTTTATATCCTTCACCTTCGTAAGAATGGTATGAATGCTCGAAGTGCTTGACCGTGTTTGCCCATTCCTCAATAGTCTTTTTCAACCACTAGGTGAGCGTCTTTGACGATTTTGTGTGGCTTACACGCATGTTGCTACTTTTGTACAAGCACTTTGCTCAAATACTTGAGCTATCTAATCTTGGGCCATTGCCGCCTGCCTCCGAGATGCAAAAACATCACTTCCATTTACAACCACGCATATGGCATGGCCTCTGTTGAGTCGGCAATAGCACCTAGAGATGTATTCAGTAGTCCGAAACACGAATCCATCAATTAAGAGGACTTTGTTCTTACTTACATAGAACACAAATATGGTATAAACAGAGTTTTCTCTGAACATCCCCGGACAAGGAAGGAAAATTCAATAGTATCACATTCAACCCACCACACTTCTCATTCGTTCGACACATTCATTCCCTACATTCATTCTGTATCATATTCATTTAACTCCAACTCATTTCCAACGTTTAGTCACAAAGTCATTCTTCTGTGGGATATCTGCTGACTTCGGCAACAGCACCGAACTTATCCCGAAGTATAGATTTCACCGTGCATCAGTCCTTTAACCGACATTTTCTTCCCGAGAATTTGGGTTTAAACCACAGACACTACATGGATCCCGAATGAACCTCAACTAACTGACCAGCCAGGACAAAGACCTGTGAGCAACTGACCACCAACTGATCACATTATGTGGTTGTCTGGTTTGACCCCATGTCAAATCATTCCAAGGAAAGGCCGAGGATACATAGTTCCAGCAGACTAGAGGTATTGGTAGCACCTCTATTCCCCTAGAGTGCAAAACCAAGATGGGGTCTTTCATCAAGAAAACATGCCCCCGGGGGTAAGAAGGGTATATATAAGATTGTCATTCCGTTTGTAATTTCTATAATATAATTTTCGGACCTCATAAAGTATATATGTATATTCCGAGTCCTTATAGATAACGGAGTCGATTTAGCTATGTCTGCTTTTCTGTCTGTCTGTCCGTCTGTATGTTTATTGAAATAAATTTTCTGAAGACTTC